ATTTAAAAGATCATTTGAAAAAAAATCAAAGCTCCCCCTCAATAAGTGCATTTTCAAACTCATTTCAAGCTATAAAAACAAGCTGATGAAACTTAAAGAACACATACAACAACTATCCAAGCAATCAAACACAAGAGAAGAGTTTTTCAATCTTATTTCACTATTCTCTTGTAAATATTTTGTTCTTGTGAGCTTAATTCTTGTAAACACCTACCTTAGAGAGGTTTCCTTGTTTACATTTTCCTTTCATTATAAAAGGAGTTTTGGTTCTAGCTGAGCCTGTTAAAAGCTAGGGATTGGTTAGTTTAGCTCGTGAAAAACTATAGAGTTTGTAAAAGTTATCTCTTTGTCCTTGAAAAAGAAAGAAAAATTAGTGAATTTGTTAGAAAATCTTTGGTGAGGAGGTAAGGTAGTGGATGTAGACTTGGTTGAGGAGACAGGATCCCATAAATGTGGGAGGCGGACAGTTGGGGTATTGAAGGAAAGACGCATATCATGATTTGCGCATTCTTTACGTGTAAGAAATTCCGCTAAGGTGCGGATTAGTATCCATACCTTTTCTTACGTGGCGCCAGGTCAGAAAGAACCCTGTGAAGGCGCGAATCGTCTGCGCCTTTTCTTACGTGGCGCAAGGACATAACCCCTCGAAAGTGCGAATGGCGATCAACGTTTTATTATAACTGTGTCAAAATGGTGCTAGATTGGTAATATTAGCAGTGAGGGTGCCTAACATGTAATTATTGGTGGTACATGTGATATTTTAGTAAAAACACCCATGTAAAAATGCCTTTGAGGTTTGGAGGTTTTGTTTGGGTGTGGTATCTATAGAAAGAGGGGACGGGGAGACAGGATGCCATAAATGTGGGAGGCGTACGGTTGAGGTATTGAAGGAAAGACGCAGATTATGATCTGCACCTTCTGTACGTGTCAGAAATTTCGCTAAGGTGCGGATCACCATCTACATATTTTCTTACGTGGCGCCAGATCAGACAAAACCCTGTGAAGGCGCGAATTGTCTGCTCCTTTCCTTACGCGGCGCAGCTCGGACATAACCACTCAAAGGCGCGGATGGTTATCAACGCTTTATTACCACTTTGTCAGAAAAAGTGTTAGATTGATAATATTAGGGGTTAGGATGTCTGACATGTAATTATTGGTGGTACAAATGATATTTTGGTAAAAACGCCCGTGTATAAGCATCTGCCCAGAATAGCTTTGTTAGAGAAACACAATCTCAAAAGTCAAACTTGCAAACTATTTAATTAAGCAGAACCATCTGGTCCCCATCCAAATCTTACTTTGCTATTTAAATCGACACGCCCTACATAGCTACAATGTTTACATCACCATTACCAATTGAAGAAACACAACTAAAATATATATAATATTACCATATTTCTTTTTCATGCACTGTCGTTTTCGTTTTCGTATCTCATTACATTATTTCATTTTCAACCTTTTTGTTTTTGCATGTCATTGAAAATCAATCGGCAAACAAAGGGGCAAAATGTCGGGTCAGGACTGAGGAATGAGAGAGGACTAAAATGTAGTAAACAAATCAGCAAGTCGAGTATTATTATGATGTGGACCAAAATGTCACGTGCTAGGCATGAGGGGCATAATCTAGGGACGAGGAGGTCCTAGACAAAGGAGGAGACAAGTCTGTTAAGCCAGCCAGTAGAGCTGCCTGGTTGGCAGGTAATCACATGGATGTGTTGTCAAAACCCTCCTCCCCATTATTTATAATATAGACTAACAGCTCTCCCACAATTCAATTCAATCAAACTGTTTAACTTAAAATGCTTTCGAAGATGACGAAAATTTATTACACAAACCAAACGCTTCACTATTTAACAAATTACATACGAAACTGATTATGTAAATGAACACACTTGAGCGTAAAAAATAAGGAAAAAGAAACTTGCAGAAGATGTGTGTCTAAACGGCGGGGAAGCGAGTGGGAACAGAATGTTTCAGAATATGATCCTTTTCCTACAGCCTCGGCATTTACAAAACAAACCCCATTCTCCCTTTTACACGCTTTTGGCTCCGGATTTCAACTATATTATTATTATCCAATGATTCATATTTAATGGGAAAAAGAGGGGAAATATTAATCAGAACTCAATTTTAAAAAAGGGCAAACTACACAATTGGTCACTAATGTTTGAATACATTTTCGTTTTTCTCACTGAAATTTTAAGAGTAACGAATTGGTAACTTACATTATTGATTTATAACAAATAGATCATTAATATTATCGATTTATAATAAATAGATCATTAATATTATCGATTTATAACAAATTGATCATTTTTAACCGTTAACTTAATGACAAAAATTTTATGTGGCTCATTAACTACAGACGTGATAACCTTTTTGTCTGATTTCTTCATCGCACTCTCTCTTCTTTAAACCCCCAGTTCCTATACTTCTACTTTTTCTGCTATAAAGATTTTTATTTATTACCATGCAATATCAAGATTATCACTATCCATTTGCCCGATCAAAACCCTCCATTTTGATGTGCAAATTATATGATGAGCCAGTATCAAAGTCTCGAAGAGGATAAGAACCTTCTATTGGTTTACCTATAATTTGTAAGATTGATAGATATATGCCAGAAGTTTAATCTATTCTCCCTATATTATCAGAAGTTTAATCTGATAATGAGCGCATATAATAAATTTTATATGGAAATATTAATAACAAAGCAAAATTCAAACTTTACAATTAAACCAAAGGCATCACTGTTACCTATTACAGGAATTAACAAAATTCTAGACTCTTATCTCTTATCTAAGCATCTGCATACTGCCCAAAACTTGATGATGATAAGATGGTTGGCAAGCTTTCACCAAAGAAAAGTAGCCCATATTAGTAATTGTTGCACTTGGAATCCCAACACCCATCGACCTGTCCACAGTAGCTTGTTCCAAATGTTACACTTGTCTCTTCAAGAATTTGACATTATGAATAACCTCGTCTAATATCGACGCCGTATACATTAATTGGTGCCTCCAGGAACAAGTCTCTGCAAAATCCTTATTCTCTCGCTTATCTGTTCCTTCTATGCCTGGCGGCCACGCTCTGGGATCCTTATATATCTTAATGTTTCTTCTCTTTGGATGTTTAACGGATTCTGGATCTATATGAATAGACGACATCGTTGTTATACGAAAAAACATCTCTCTTATTGCTTCAATGGAGTTTTTTTATCTACTGCATAAGAATATGAATTAGCATTGCTGAAATGAGTTGGGTATTTTGAATTTCTTGCTGCTGTCTGTATTGTCAGGTTGAAGAGGTCGAGTCATGGGTTCTTGAACAAGGTTATTACCATTACCGATTAATGATAAAGAGGAAGACATGATAGTGGAGAAGTACCATTGGAGAAGTGGATTCCAGGTGGCAATAATGTGGAAGAGTTATGGAAACCAAGTGAATGTTCTTATCCTCTTCGAGACTTTGATGTTGGCTCATCACATAATTTACACATCAAAATGGAGTGTTTTGATCCGCGAAGGGATAGTGATAATCTTCATTTTGCATGGCAACAGAGAGAAGACTTTTATAGCAGAAAAAGTAGAATTAGGAACTTGAAGGTGATGAAGAAAGTAGACAAAAAGATTGCCACATCAGCAGTTAATAACCAGTAAAACTTTTTGTCCCCACGGAAATGTATGTTATAAATCAATAATATTAATGATTCATTTGTTATAAATCGATAATATTAATGATTAATTTGTTATTTTTTAAATTTCAATAAAAATAAAAATTTATTTAAATATCAGTGACCATTTGTCTAATTTACCTTTTAAAATATTGTAAAAGGAAAAAATAAGAGGGCGATGATGTGTTACTTTTGTTAGGCTTATTTTATTTCATGGTCATAATTGGGGTTGGGTCATACGGGGTTCCTTACGTGCCGCATGATGCTTATCCCACTCTGTCCACGCGCTGCTGGCGCATATTTTGGGTCTCTTCAGATGTGAGACTCTTTTATTATAGATGTGAGATTTCTTCCAATGTTCGAATAATTTATATCTAAATTTGGTTTTAAATTTTGATTTAGAATTTATTTATTTTTAAGTGATAAATAATTTAATATCGTTTAAGTAGATTTTAAGTTTGAGTCTTTATTATGCAGAAAATCTCTGTTAGGAGATTTATCCTTCACAGTCAAGTGTACAACTCGGTCGATCCGGATTAGTTAAAGTAAAGCATTGGAACCGGAAAGTCAAAAAAATTTAAATTATAAAGATACTTTTTAATCTAAATTAATATATAATAAATTACTTATTTAGATTATAAATTTAAAATATGAATTCATATATCTAATTAAACTATAAACTTTTAAATATGAAATGAAATTCACATAATTAGTTAAACAATTAAATGTTAAAAAGTTATTATAAGATTATAATTATAGTTGTATGCGTATTTTATATCTCTGACGTACAAAAGAGTAATTATTGGCGTAAGAGAGAAATTTAGAATTATTTTGGGGCATAATATTATAATTATATGACTCAAGGGTCAAACACTGAAACCTCTAGAAGGCCCAAGACAGAGACTAGTATTTCAAAATTCAGGTTACTGGTTTTGTCAAAAGGTAGTGAATAATGGGAATATTATTACCAACTCACTTTATGACCCACTCCACCGGTCTACTGGTAACTACTCTGTGGTTGAAAATCCTTAATCCACCTTGTAATCGGCAAACCATCATCTATTAAACCAATAATTAACAATCCCACATTTCATGGAATTTATGTTTCGAGATAAGTATGGAAATTATCGTAATTATTTATACTTGGTCTAGCTATCACCTTTCTTGTTTCTACTAAAAGATTTGGTTTGATCTTTGTCAACAAATTATCAGCTTACTTGAATGAATACATACACGATCTTATTTATTTGTCTAAAATCTTTAGCTGATAACAAAGGATTAATCCTTATAAGATTTGCCTACACGTTGAATATAAAAGAAGAAAAGGTGACTCATCAACCCATAATAATTATAATTCATTGATTTTCTTGTTATATTTACGTAATTAGGTATGAAACCAGCAGACACAACATGTGGCACAAACAACGCCGTTTCACTTGAGCTAGCTCTCAGAAGAAGTAATCAAACGCGGTTGATTGTTCCTCGCTCTTTGGCTGGTAAGAAGACGACGTCGATTGCCGCTTTAACCCCGGAATCATCGGCGGCGTGACCGACCTTATCAGCGCGAAATTCAGTGATTTAAAGAAAGGGTGTGTTTTGACGTCCGCAGCACCGCGTTTGGATCCCAAGCGAGCGTTGGGCTCCTTGTTCAACAAGGAGGAGATAAGGTCGAGCGCGTGTTGCTCAAGGAGGGAGGAAGACGAGTGGGTTGGGAAAGTGAGTGGCCTTTTGACGATATTGTGCAGCGTAAGCTCTTTGGATGGAGCCGCAAAAGGTGTACGCCCGTAGATCATCTCGTAGATGAAGATCCCGAAAGCCCACCAGTCAACGGCATTCCCGTGGGTCCCACCCGAGGCAACCTCTGGAGAAACATACTCGTGGGTCCCAACGAAGGAGCCCGATCGGGCAGCAACCGGCTCCGCCACGAAGAACAGCTTGGTAGGTGGTGCGAGCGTTTCGATCTTCTTCGACCGCAAGATCTTCCGGAAGAGGCTGGAGAGCCGGGTTAGCTGCGGATGATTGCCGGACAGGTTCCGTGGAGGCATTGGGTCCGGAGAAGACGATGGTGATTCAACAGCGGGGATAGCGTCTGAACAAAGCGAAAGGTCGAAATCTGAGAGCATGATGTGACCGTCTGATCTTACTAAAACGTTTTCCGGTTTTAGGTCTCTGTAAATGATGCCCAGCATGTGAAGGTACTCTAGAGCTACCAGAACCTCAGCTGCATAAAACCTGTTAAAAAATTACTATTATTATTAACAACTTCAAACTTTCTTTTGCGAGAGAAGCTGAAAGGAATGTCATGCAAACAGTGCGAGATTCCTTTTTTAACGTTTAAACTATCTCATCTACCAACATGAGAAAAACAAATCAATGACAAGACTAACTCTTTTAATTCGGAACCAGAATGGCATAAGCCTGTAGTCTAATGATGGAACAAAATATCAAATAAGGAATTCGAGCAACACGTCTCCATACACTGATATGAATTGAAGCTTAAACAACTGCAAGGAAGTTCAAAGAATAATAACAGTGTTTTTTTAGAATAAATAATTTTTTAGAGATAAGGTTGATTATTGGTTGTGACTTTGCATGGTAGAAGAAGACAAGGATAAGAACAAGTCAAGCTATGTGTTTGCACACAATACAGGAAAAACAAAACACGCAGAATAAAGCATGGAAGAAGCATCACTGTAAAGTCAATGTAGTTACATCTTTAAAAAAACTGTCAGCTATACAAGTAGAAGAGAAAATTGGTACCTTGCGGAGTTCAAAGAGAAGCGTTTTTGAGGTTGTTTATGCCTAAGAGAATGCAAGTCGCCGCCTGAACAGTACTCCATGACTATGCAAGAAAAATTAGAAGCTTCAAACTCAGCGTACAAAGTAGGCAAAAATGGATGATCCAGCATCTTCAGGATCTTCTTCTCCATCTCAGCACGTTGAACCTTTTTCTTCAAAGCCAACGCTTCCTTGTCCACCACCTTCATCGCATAAAAACAGTTTTCATTTGAGTTGGCCAACCGACAGAGGTAGACAGTTCCGATGTCGCCGGAACCTATGTTGCGTAGCAGTCGGAAATCACGGAAAGTGAGGCCGGATTTGCGGGCCAAGGTGGCGGATCGGATAGTAGAGTAAGCGAAGTCGGAAGATCGGTGAGGTTTGAGAGAAAGGTTGTCTGGGGTGGACTTAGATGTGGGAAGAAGCTCAAACGAGAGACGACTGAAGCTGCTACAGCTTTCACTACTCATTGAACTTTGACTCGAAGAATTCCTTGTTTCTGAACTCAGCTCACTTTCTGACTTACGTTTGTACTCCAACATTTTATTTTTTCTCACCCTGATTTGCTCACTTGTTTCTCTCTAGTCGCAAGGGAGAATCCAAAATAGTCAACGTTGGGTGAAAGCAATGAACTTAAGACTGAAAGGAGAGATGGGTGCCCGAGGAATCAAAAACAAAAGAAATGAGGGTTAATGCATCAAACGAAACTAAAGGGGATTCAGAAATATGGATTAAATGCACATACTGATGCAGCATAGAGGCAGAGCAGGCTTTTCTTTATTATAGGGCTGGCTGGCTGGGACCTGAAAATTAGGATTTCTGAGCAATACCCAGTCCGTACGCCGAACGATCATCTACCCCGAACGAACTAAAGAAATGGAAAAAAAATGCCTTTTGGACTTTCTCTGTTTATTTCTTTGGTTTGCTTTGAGAGAGAGGAGGGAGAAGAAAGGCAAACGAAACTGAGAGGGTTTGATTGGTTGGGGCTATTTATGGTTTGTGAAATGTACGGACCCGGGTTTTATATTACGAATGACGCCGTAATTAGCGGTTAACGCTTCGGATTTTAACCTTAAGTTTTAACCATTAACTTGGCTTAACAAAAAGTCTTTGCAGTTTACACGTGAGTGTGAAAAAACCACACGGTTTCTTCATGAAATTTGAAATGGGAGATTTTGCTGTTTACCTATGAGATGAAGCTACGAGTAGTAGACCGATAGCAGCAGCAGTGTACTGGACAGGATGATGCGTTTCGTTTCTGGCACGTGCGATTGGCTGTTCGTCACGTGGCAGAGGTTGCGTTTCATTTTAGCATTTCAACTACATATTTGATTTTGCTTTGGAAATTTAAACGCGTGTGGTTTCACGGTTTTGAGCCTTTTGGCAGCATACGTGAATCTCTCCCTGCATCGCTTTTACTGCCCTCTCGCTCCCATACATTCCACGTATCACCTCCGTCGGTGTTTCTTATCATCCTCCTTAAAAGTAACATAAACCCTTGTTTTTCTTTCCTTTATATATCAACCCTCATTCAATTTTTAATATCTGGATTTGGAGGAATTTGTCAACCAACTATGTTGTGGCACGTAATAATTCAAGAAGTTTCTTTAACATCGTTTACAACATTATCGTTACTGATAGAGACTAGCTCTGAGAGTACTGCTCCTGCATTGAATGGAAAAACATTATTGGCATACGAAAACTATGAAACTTGACTGTCAGTTATAAATTTCCAGCAGTATATATTATACACATTAAATTCCTAGTAACATTATTGAAGCCGGCAATAAAGACTGTATGTAAAAGGTTGGACAATGATTCACCAAACAGGAAAAAAAAAACCACAGGTACTACTATATTTGTAAAATAATAATAATAATAAATTTAAATATGATATTTGTTAAAATGATAAATCCATATATTAAATTGTTTAAAAACACAGATATATAAAATATTTAATTCAGAAATCAAATGATATATTAAATTTAAAATAACTGGTTTGGAAGATGTTGAGAAACATAGGTAATATGGAGAGCTGAAGTTAGGGCCGTAGCGTTATTGAAAAATGATATGGGTTGTTCCCAATATCTAATGTTATAATTAAATTGAAGAAAACAACATAAGCGACAAGAAGCATGAGAGGTTTAGAGTGATAATATAAAAAACCACATGGGCAAATCAAACAGTGCATGTGATCCAGCCAAGGCTCTGTGGTTCCATTGTTGCAACAGTTAGAAGCCGAGGGGCCTTGGGTTTGATGGGACTCCAGCTCGGGTCCCATTCGAAAGGAACAAGTCCCTGAAACCCAAACATGCTATCTGATTGTATGTATAGTAATAATAATAAATATTGGATGCAAAAGAAGGGGGGCCCTTGAATAAGTTTTTACAAGGGAATTGAGTGCCATGGAAAAGGGCAGCACAAATTGGCCTGCCAGTAATGGAGTTACTGTACTGCCCGTGCACGCCTCCATCGCTTTGAGACATGAGATTTCTCTAAACCTAACCTTCATTCACGGGACGCTGCTTCTCTTCTCATTTTGGCTTAACTTTATAATATTAGCAATTAGCAGTTTTATTCGCATTAAAAGGAATATTGATCACTACTAATCAAGATTCTATTTCCTCATCTTCTGGCTAAGATTAATGCTTTTAGATCGTCCAGTGAGGTTCAAAGCTTGCGTAAAGCCGGAGCACGTGGAGTCACCTTCTTGAGGAAATGCTCTTCGTAACTTTGTTTCCAGGATTATTGCATCACAAGTTAGTATAAAAAAACTTAATTATTATTTCATCAAAATTATGTAAAATTAACAGAAAATCATTAAAGTACTATTAGTAGTACTCACTGAAACCTCCGTCAACAGTCATATTATTGATGTTAATCAGTAGGGTGGGATTGCTAATTCAGGGTATTTGGGTCAATGAATTTGTTTGGTAGCTTCTGATGAAGATTGCCATTTTATCCAGTCACATAAAATGATTTAACTTCAAACTCGAGATTATCATTGAGAGTATAAAGAAAGATTCGGCATGAAACTTAAATGCTGCTGCCCACTTAACCCAATTAAAAGATTCCATTACAGTCAGTATTTCATTTGTCTGTCATGTCGTGTGTTCTTAAGACAGTATCGTTTTAATTAATAAAAATGTTCTTTTACCAAGTCATTCCAAAATATTACTAGGAGAACAGTTCACCAGAGTCATTAATAACTAATCCACTGCAGAGGATACATCCTTATGGTATAGTGGATTATTGTTTTACTCGGTCTCTATGTAATATTCATCCATCCTGTTCTTTAATCATACTATTAGTTATAATGTCAAATAATTTCTCAACATTGTTTTTTTTAAGGAATCCAATACTATAGTCGTTTACAAATCACCAATAATATATAGTAAAGACTCAAATTCTAAGCAGGATGGTCTCTATTAAACTAATTACAAAAGAGTGGAGTTCATAAAAATAATTTTAAAAAATGGGATCACTGTTGACTTTTTCATTTGCAGGATCCACGATCTAGAAATACTTTTGAGTATATATATATTAATAATAAAAGATTTTGGTATGAATAGATATAAATAAAATTTTAGGAAAGACACCATCAATAAAATTAATAACTAACATAAAGAAATTTAGATTTTAAGGTGAGCATATATACCTACCACTCCACCCTGAGAAAGTCTTGCATCTGGGATTGCAATGAAATAATAAGTACTAATATATAGTAGATTAAATGGTGAAAGAATTTTTTTATATTACTAGATAAAGTATCAAATTTGAATTTTATTGACGAGGAATGTAATATGCGAAGAGTTTACGTTTTATTTAGGGTTGATTCAATTCAATCCAGATTTAATTGAGATTTTATATGATTGTAGAATTGTATAATAATAAGTTTAATTTTACTGTATGATAGTAATAATAAATGAAGTAAAATTAGTTAGTAAACAAAGAAGCAATATTCCCGGTGTTTTGGTAGGCCGACAATCGGACAAAATGTGTTTCGCTCCAGATCAGAACAAACTTCCTCTTCAACATGAAATTATAATGTGCCTGCTTCGGTTTAAAATCATGACACCAACGTACTTTTTTTAAATTTTTATGGGAATATTACTTTTTATTATTATTTTATGATGGTAATTTAGGTTTTGAAACTTGAACAAGAAACAATATTGATGCAAGGATCGTATGAATTGGACAACCCATAAATGGAAAAAGAAAAGCTGAGGGTTCTTGAAATTCAAGCTTCTCCTTCTTGGCATACGAAATTTTTATTTTATTTTTTTTAAAAAAGACTGATGTCTCTTATGGTGGTTGTTAATTATTCGATCTTTGATTTTCTTAGTTATAATAATCAGTGGTTACACATCTAACTGCTAGATTCTGTCCCACGGCAAAGTCATCAATCAATTTAAAAATATTTATGTTTGTGTATAATTTAATGTTCCATTGGTAAACTATATAATAAGACATGGTTAAAATTAAAAGTATAATTACATAATTTTATTTCCAATAATATCAGATCGTCTCACTAATAATACTTAAAGCAAGAACTGGCAATACCTCAAATATGAAACCTTCTAGATGTATTTGCAACCGTAACTGTAACCCTAAACAATGATTCCATTGGAGGGAACAAATTAAGCAAATATGTATTGTTTTGAGTAAAAATGCATGATTAGAATGGTTTAGAGTATTGATTTTATAAACCACATTAATTGGCCTCACTTTGATTGAGTTAGTGTCTAGAAGAAATTAAAGTTGGGAGGTATCTTTAATAATTAGGCTTCTAAAAGAATATTTAGGATTTGGCAACTTGCGTATTCTATTTTACATATAACATGCAAGACAAGAAGACATGAGACATCTTTTTCCAGATCTGATACTTACGTATTCTATTTTACATGATTACGCAAAGTGTATACCCTCTTCAGAAAAGAAGAAAAAAAGAAGACATCCATTCTTCATGACTCGTGTCTGCGTTTTTTTTTAAATAAGCAGAAAAGTGTGACTGAATTCCAGAAAAAGTATGAATAGTTAAGTGATGAGCATAAATAAAAGTTGGACTAGGTTGAAAGGAATGGGAATGAAATGAAAGAAGATGAGGGGAAATTAAAAGCAATGCACGGACCTTATTAAGGTAAGCAACTGGACACAATCAAAGGGAAAGAAAGTCGGCACTAACCTCGGAGCACCTTTTTATTTTCATGCATCCTATACGTTTTTCTAACATTCTCTGATTTCCAGCTCAACCATCAGACTGAGCAATTATAAATCATATAATATTTCCAAATACTTGTAAAAAAACAATTTTCGTACAAGAAAACAATTCCGACAAGAAGTAGCAGAGATGTCTGGTGTCCTTGTCAAAAAATAATTTTGCTTTCCTTTTTTATGGACGAGAATAAAAAGGAAGTACAATTCATCCAATTATTAACATTTTGTCTTGTTCGAAATTTCAATCCACCGGGCCACGCAGTCCAAATGATTTATGTTGGTATTACGTCATTGGACTGATGAGCTTGAATGTCAAGCATCTGGGTTATGCATGTCCACCGACCCAACATGTTTGAATATGCTATTATCCACAGCCACAAATGGGCATTTGTTTCCTTCAACTTTGCCACTACATATCGTATTAAACCCAAACCAAAATGGTTCCCATTTCCCCTTGGCAGCCACAGCTAGGATATTAAGCAACTACGCAAAGCCTGATGAACTTGTATTTCTACATCATTCATATTTGTATTTTACATAAAAGAGTTTGCAAAACAAAACGTACAACAGCCAAGGTCCCTCAAAAGATATGTTTTCTCCAGGAATCACCAACAACGTTGATTACTACAACATTAATGCAAGTCAACCTACCATGCAACAAAAGCAACACACACAAAACCAGCATTTGATTACCTCGGACCAACCTGATGAAACTCCATAATACTCGCTGAATTTGCAGCAGGTCCATTTTATCTTCATCCTATTTACCTACAACACCCAAAATTAATCATCACTACACCAGCATACCACGCTGCCTTCAATTATAACCAAAAGCTGGTCATAATCAATGTGATGCATTTTTTGGGTGGGGGGATTTTTTTAAAGGGTAAAACTACAAAAAATGGAGCAAAAGACAGACACAGAAAATGTGCAAAAACATTTGGTATAAGGCAGTCCGCTTTTATAACCTGATTTCCTACTCTGGACACTGGAAGAGTAGCTCCTACTCCATGGCATCAGTCAAAAAGCAAATAATCATCATAATCAGAGAGGTCACTGGCACCTGAGAACTCAAAGTAATCATCATAATCATCAGATATTAAGTCGATGTCTGAAATTCCAGATGGATAATCTTCATCTGATGACCCTGTATCATGAACTTCTGCATTGAACTCATAATCGTGAGTTGAATCATTAGGGCGTCGCAAGTTTTTTATGTGTTCAACACATCTTTTCTCCAAGTTCCCTCCAAGACTAACATTGAAACATTGCCGCAAGTCAAGATATTCAAGGTGAGGACAACCATTGAGAATGGCCTGCAAGCCTTCATTTGTTAACTTGTTCCCAAAAAGTTGGAGGTGGCATAACTCGGGCATAGTTTGTGCAATAGCAAGTGCCTCATCATCAGACTCTAAGTGGAAGCGTCTGTATCCCTGAAGATTGAATTTCAATGTTTTCAGGAAAGGGCAACTGCGGCCAATAGTTTCTAGAGAATATTTCGAAATGGAGCAATATGAAATTTCAAGCTCTTCCAGAAATGGAAGCTTTAAAGCCGCTTTGCTTAAGCCTTCATCTGAAATGTTATAGCACGACACTAGTCGAAGACGCTTAAGATGAACAGACCTGTGAAAAGCACCATTTGAAGAATAAAAGAAGAGCAATGATGGCAAGAACAGTTGCGAACAAACGAATAACCATTTTAGTACTGTAATATAATAAAATAAGGGGTGATTGAATTTCTAATGCAAACAGGAAACCATATTTCTATTGAATGTTCATGTGGAAACATCATTTTGAAATTCTTCAGTAACCAATAGCAATTGAAGCAACGAAGGTAAGAGAACAAATCTGCAAGTAAATACCAAATGCCAATTGAAAATTCATGAAGGAAAACAGGTCATGCAACCGTCAAAGCAGTCATATGTAATAAGCAAGAATATCAATTGCTTAATGAGGATCATATCAATCACGAATACTTCCTACACTCGTAGCACATCGACAAAGAAAATAAAACAAAAGGACAGGGAAAGTTTATTTTATGTCACCACTAATTAATTGTTTAAAAATTTCACCGTTGAAACTTGAAAAATGTAAGTGCATATGCTATTCAGCTTAACACCCCCCCAATCTTAAAAAAATGAACTAGACTAAATCAGTTGCTTTGAAAATAGAGAATGGCTTAAGATTAATAGCAATTGAATAATTTTAATTGAAAAGCACAAGCTTGGAAAATATGCATAAATAAATTCGAGAAGGCAGCCTGAAATTGACTATTAAAGTATGAAAACAAAGCTAAAATGTTGAAGTAAGAAACCCTAGAACTAAGAAATGCCAAGAATTTGACATAATAATCCAAACCTATAAAATTACAAAACATTCCATTATGATTAAAGAACAAAAATTGATGTCTGATAAATATTATAACCTTAAAAAATTTATAGATTATAAAATAGAAAGTAAAAGGGCTGAAACTTTACCTCTCAGAGATATAAGATAGAATCTCATCGGTACCAAAATATTCGACATTGATATCAAGCAAGTAGCCGCAGCTGCGATCGATGGCGTGGATGCACATCTTCTCGAGATCATAATCCATGTCCCATAAATCACCCGAGTTGCGCATGTCAATGGACCTCCACATTGATGGGTCTTTACAGATGTTTCGCCACTGAGAGCACACATTCTGGGCGCTGTTAAGGATTTCGACTGCACCTAGCCGAGAGAGAATCGAGGCCGTCACGTCAAACGGCAGCTCCAGCCAATTGCGGGTTTCGACTGCGGCGCTCATCTTTCGTTTCCGTTGGGGGATTTTGTTGCAAAGAGGCGTTTGGTAAAGGTTTTTTCATTTTCTAGCCAGTTAAAGTTTGTGTAAATTACATCACATATGTCACTCTATTATTAATAACTTTACAATTTGATTATTATAGTTTAAAAAATTGAAATTTAATCATTCAATTAATTAATTATAATAATCAAATTATTATGTGATTGAATTTCAAAGATTAGTTTTTATTTACATTTTGGTAATTCAATTTTCAGTTACAATTTTTTTAAATTTTTTTAATTTTTTCCTTTTTTTACGAATTGCTCATTGTTTTTGTATTCTTCTTGGACAAATCTATTTTTTATGTAACATAAGGTAAACAACTTGTAATACATAAACAACATATAATGATTCCAAAGCATACGTCAAAATCATATATAGTAATTCTATGGGTACTAATTAAAATCAAATTTTCTACAATTAATTTTCATTAACGCATTTATAGTGATGTTATGCTTTCTAAGAATATGTGTGATCTTGATCTTCCAGTCAACCATTAGCAAGGACTCAATCAGATTCAAGACAATAGTTTCCTGTAATGCCATAGAGATACGATCAAATATCTAAACCACCTCTAAACTATTCGATTCAACTTTCGCTCTTCTAAACCTAAACTTCTGTTCATGCATTGCCTATAATTCAACAAAGAGTATTGGACAACTCTTTAATAAACCTAAAAATTCATTCATCATTTTGAAGAACCCCTTCTACCATAATATCACTATTATGTCTCCCAGCTACTCCATTAGCCTTTATCAGCAACAATTTGTTTTGTGCCCTAGACAAATGTATTTCGATATTTTTATACTACACAAATCTATATATAAAAAATATTTTATGCTCAAATTATTACATTACAATCTCTCCATCGATATTGAAAAGTTGAGGTTGGTTTAGTGGCGACACTAATATTATTGTTATAATAAATTAAATGAGTTTTCAATTGTAAATTCTCAAAATATAATAACCGAATCATAAACTTACTAATGATAGTGATTTGTAGGGTAATTTACACTTGATGTTTAAGAGGAAAAACAGGTCTGAATGTGTTAAAAAATAAAATAAATAAATATTATGCATTTCCGTCTTTCTTAGGTAAGTTATATATTTGGGTTCGCTCCCCGATAGGACCCACCCCACCAAACTACAAAACAAATTAAAATATATTGAGTAATTCCTAAACAAGAATGGGAAAAGGCTCAAATAAGCTTTTATTAAGTTAAACCTGTAGTTTCTATTTGAAAAAAAAAAATAGTCAGTAATACTTGAATGAAACCTGATAATAGACTTATAATAATTAAGAAAGCACCCAGACATGTAGTTTCTAATCAGCCTCAGTACACCAAACAGATGATACTCAAGGAAAATATCATGTCATGACCCAAAACTCTTAAAGAAATATCTAATAATAATTTTAACAAAAACGTAAATAACTTAAGCTCCAAAAAGGTAACAACAAGAAGATACTGAAGGAATTAAGCGCCAGAACCTATTCAGCTTCACTCTTCAAATGAAATGACCTCTTCGGACACATCCAACACTTCCTCTACTTCAACTTCTTTGGCCTCATATTCTTCTTCTTCTTCTTCACTAGCTTCTCCATCCCTCAACTTCTGCCTCTCTATTTGTTCTTCCTCATGGGCCTGCCTCCATTCGCTGACCCATTTTTCCCATTCCTCCTTCAGTATCCTTCTCTTCTCACGATCTTGCTCACTCAATAGCATTGATACATCCTGGTCCTCTGCCTCATATTTCTTGCTGTACTTCTTCAAGTTCTTTGAGATCTCTTCCTCCTTTTCAGGAGTTAAAAAGGATGGTGGCCTTGGTCGCCACAAGAACTGCAATAAAATATGACAAATAACAAACATCCAGCAGGAACTCGCATCATGAACAGGCACAAACACTTAAAATGAACAAACTAACTTCACGCAGGACATTTCATTTACCTGGAAGAAATTATCCTTCAGTATCCGGTAAAGTAGCTTGCCACTAAAGGACCATACGTTGAAACCATTTTCCATTTCATGAACTGAAGTCACTGAAGTGGCAACATACCTTGTATATACAGAGAGGGAAATTGTTAGAATAGAAAATGTAAGCACCTTTCCTATTGAACCAAAAAGAAGGAAGGCAGTTTCTATTTCTTTCAATTGTAAAGCATCTTTGTACAATCAAACACAACCGAAAAGCATAAAATGTAAATTCAATATAGATGTCATCAAATTATTAGTGGCATTACCTTCCAGTGGGATCCCATTCAACATTGTTGCCATAAAATGTTCAGCAGTTGCCATGGTTTCAAGCTCATCAACGTTGAAGAATTCCAATTGACCATTGAAACCCTTCAATCCAGCAAGAACTATGAAGCGGCCACCAGGTGACCAGAATAGAGAATTTGCCTGTTTGCCTTTTAGAGTAGTGAGCTTTGAAACACGACCCAAATTGTGAGTGCTTCGCATCGTGTAAAAGCTAATGTCAGGCCTTGGATTATCTCCATGTATAACGGCAAACCTATGCCCCTTGGGCTCCCACGCAAAGGCAATTATCTTCTCATTTTTATTATCAAGTTCCAAAACTTCAATTGGTATGTCCCTTTCTTTGATGCGGAAGAGCTCAAATCCAGAGTATGTGCTTTTCTTTGTTTTTGTATAGCGATCAGCCTTCACAGCAAGATACTCACCATTGCTTTGCCAGTACATTTTGCAATCGCTAATGCTGAAAAGATTCTTCTGCCTCAATTCCTCTTTGCCAGGTATTTGAACTAGACTCACCTGAGAAATACAAGCAAGTGGTATATTAGATAACATTAAAACTTCAAAATAGACTGGAACCTCTCAAGTGGAGCAAAAGTGCAGACCCTAGCAGGTTGATTTCCACCTCCAAGTTCAGGAACAAAAAGTGCAATGATGGGATCAGTTGGCGACCAACTGAAGTCCACAACATTCTCAACCTTCAAGGATTTCTTATCAATAAGGCTAAAGGTCTCCGTTTCATAAATAGATATCATATTCTTCCCAAGTTTGGCAAAATACTTGTCCTCCTTTCCACCTCCCCACCTGGAACATGACAATCGTAGTTAGATAATAAGATGTTTGCCAAAATGTGATGAAAGAAGAGGGTTGACATACATATAAAAATGATTCCATGAAGAAAAATAAGGAAGAAACACCTGAAAACAGGCCAAGAAACCCCAGCAACGCCACCAGCTCCTCCAATTGCAAATTCATCTGACTTCCCTTAAAATCTCTCATCACTTTTCCAGTTCTCACATCAAAAATATTTATCACAGCCCTCTAAATACATTAAGGTTATATCAGAAGTGACATCAGAACAGGAGAAAATATGTAAAAAGTGTTTGTTCCAAAACCTCACATTTGCATCACGGGGATTGCTTGGTTCGTGGCTGCTGTATGTGACCAAAAATTTCTCACCAGGAGAAAAATCAATAAGTTTAACCTGCATACATATAATTGCATGTTAAAGATGAGGGATATCAAAGTTAAGAGATGATGTTAAGCAAGCTCTTTCTCACCTGAGGATGGGCATAACGCATTAGACGATTAAAGGTATTGGCACCTCCCCAAACTGCAGCTCCTTGCCTGTGAACTGTTGCCAAGTATGTCCCCATGGGAGACCACTGAACAAAGCTCTCAGTCCAGTACTGTAAACAAAACCAGTTATAAACATCATAAATGGTTCATTAACAATAGGTTAATGACAACACCAACAAGCTTATGCATGCCACAAAAGCAATTCCTTAAACTAAACCAATCAATTTTAGTCACCAGACACCAATATGAATCACTAACCAAAATGCAGAAAACACTTACATATGAATCACTAACCAAAATGCAGAAAACACTTGGAAATGAAGAGAGAAGGCATTTCACAAACTGCAAACCACTTACAGTACGTTTGTAAACAAGCTCAGTTTTAGATTGCCTTGCATCATTCCATAGAACCTCGGTATCAGTGCCAGCACGAATCACAAATTGATCTCGTGCCTTTCCATCAGCAAGCCATTTTTGAAGATTTTCCTACAATGGCAACAAAGTATTTATGTAAGAAATACATAGCATTAGGAAGTATAGATAGAACAGAGGGGTTTGTTTCATAAGAAGAATTGAGATTTGATGTTATCTGTGTTATAGGAAACTTAAATATTCCTTAGAAACACATCTAATAGCAATAAAATCTACATAATACTACTCAGGGAAGAAATTCTGATTAACTTCAGTACAATCTTAACGCAAGAAAAATGATATACAGAAAAATTAAATACCAAGCACTAACCCTGACCTCAATCAAAGGAAAATTGTCTTTTGCATATTCAAAAGGCTTAAATAAAGTACAATACCTCTGAAACGAACTCCATAATCATGCATTATAAGAAGCTTATCATCAATGTTTGAACCAAAAAATAGAATATATATGAGAACAACAATTTTACTCTCAATATGTTTATGCCATTGCAAGGGACACATAAATTAAATGGATTGACTATTAAAACAATGGAAAGAAACAAAATTTAATAATATATATATGAATACCCCTGGTGTGTAGGGTTTAATCTCAGGTGGAGCCCATTCATCGGGAACTTTCATGTACTTGTCAAAATCATCGAACATGTTCACAACAAAAATATGTGCTCTATCCAACTTGTACCCATGAGTCTTCTCCTTAGCAAGCTCAGCTTCCTAAATCAATTAGAAACAAAGAAAAAACAATTCAGATTCTAAAAGCTAAAGCCATAAGACTAAAATAGTCAAAATCCATAAGAAGCGAACCTGAGGAGTATTATATTCTATAAAGCAGTAGCCTAGGGTTTTCTTAGTCTCAGAATCGACCGGCATCCAGAGACCATCCTCCTTAATCACCCCAATCTGACTATAGATTTTTCGAAGCACACCCTCGTTTCTCAAACTTTTCACGAGGAACAACAGGTAGATTATCGACAACTATAATGTTTCCAAATCCGGAATCCAACTCTAATTGGTCATCATGGTAAACA